TATTCATTTATTTATTCATTTATTCATTCATTCATTCATTCATTCATATATTCGTATATTTAACTGTGCTGTAGATCAAAGTTGGATCCAAATAGAATAGATCAGAATAGAAACAAACATAGAATAAAATAAAAATAAGAAAAAGAATTACTGTACCGGACTATCAGTTGAAATTAGATAAAAATAAAAAATGAAAGCCAGATACTGTGCAGAAAAATACAAAATTACAAGAAAAAAACCCAACAAATCTGTTGAATTGGGTCGAACTAAGTCATTAAGTTCTAGGACAGGAAAAATAAAAAAGATGTATTTCCACAGGTTATTATTTATGTAATGATTGAGAGGTAGAGTTGTTTGATGTGCAAACAGACATGGATGCTTATCATGATTGTTAGCARCAGTGTTGGTTATAGAGTCTAACAGSTGATGGGAGGAAGGATCTGCGGTAACGCTCCTTTTGTGCRTTCAGGAGGCAGCGGTCTGTCACTGAAAATGTCTCAGATCTGAATAAAAACGTCGTCTCTGTTTCTGTTTCCTCTCAGATCCTGATCGAGTTCTGTGCCGGCGGGGCGGTGGACGCCGTCATGCTSGGTGAGTCAGCACTTTCCATTTTCCTCACGGGTTATATCATCATCAGGAAGCGGCTCAGGTTGCTGCTGGACCACCCACACKTTGGAGGGGGGCGGGTTTTATTCTCAGACACTAACCGTGCTTTAGAGCGAGGAATTCAACTCATACCTTTTTGCCCCTCCCTCACAGAGCTGGAGAGACCCCTGACGGAGCCCCAGATCCGGGTGGTGTGCAGGCAGACCCTGCAGGCGCTGGTCTACCTCCACGAAAACAAAATCATCCACAGAGACCTGAAGGCCGGGAACATCCTGCTGACGCTGGACGGAGATGTGAAGCTGGGTGAGGGGGGGTCAGGCTCACTAACGAGCTCGTTAACAAACTCGTTAGTGCCCATAACTCACTGCTTATGGAGGCTTCCACGTTAAAGTCAAAATGCTGAAACTTTACATTATAAAAGTTTGAGGGTTTATTCACTCCTCTGCAGTGAAGATATTTTTACTGATTGTTCTTTTTAATAAATRCACAGGAGCATCTCTCTAAAACAGAACATTTCCCAGAATGCAGCAGCTGTTTTCACAGCAGCATCCTGCGCTTAAATAAACGATCAGCGTGTTCATGACAACGAGTCAGAGGCAGAGAAGCATGAGTCAGACCCTGAGAGGGTTTTAGAACATCAGGTTGTTGCTTTTATGCAGAACACTGATGGTTACACTGAGTCATGCTGAGTCATGCTGAGTCATGCTGGGATGAAACACGGCCAGCATTTATCCAGCGATGTAAGACACGGAGCCTGCTGAGTCTCTACACGCGTGACGTCACGCCAACAGAGCTGTGGTTCCGCCGAGCATTTTATTTTGTAAAGAAAACTAATCCTCTGTCTACTTCCTGTTTTTCAGCTGACTTCGGCGTTTCTGCCAAAAACACCAAAACTCTGCAGCGAAGAGACTCGTTCATYGGAACTCCTTACTGGTGAGAGGATCGCTTTTATTTTTTTTTATTCACTCAGCGTCATCGTCGGAGTCAAACTCACGGCTCCGCCCTCTTCACCAGGATGGCCCCCGAGGTGGTGATGTGCGAGACCTCCAAGGACCGGCCCTACGACTACAAGGCCGACATCTGGTCCCTCGGGGTCACCCTCATCGAGCTGGCTCAGATCGAGCCCCCCAACCACGAGATGAACCCCATGAGGGTCCTGCTGAAAATAGCCAAGTCCGACCCCCCCACCCTGATGCAGCCRTCCCGCTGGTGAGTCACAGCTCTGATGGAGACGTTGGTTCAGGTCTCCTCAGATGCAGCTGAACAGGGTTTAGATTAGGGCTGAACTTTGACTGGTCACCTGACCTGGGACTGAGCTGAGCGGAGCAGTGTTTTAATTAGCGACATTGTCGCTAGATCTAGCAGCTTTTCAGACCCCTCTAGTGACTTTTCCCTCCCAAAAAAGGCAACTAGAGACAAATCTGCCAACTTTTCCCAGTGTTTTTGGAGACTTTTGGAAGCTTTAACAGCACTGTTCTCCTTTCCTCTACAAGCAGTGAGCGGTGCGGTGAGCCCCTCCCCCTTCATAAAGCGGTCCGATTTGCCCCGTGCAGCAGTACAGACACACACACACACCCGGCTGCAATCAGCTGAGAGGAGACCACTGCAAATGAATCTGGTTTACAAAGCGGGATATAATATTTACTGTAATAACTCTGAACTAAATCTCTGGACTCAGCTGTGTTCGACTCACAGATCAGTCACTGCTTCACCTCATCCTCCCTGTGCCTCCTGACATCTATCAGTCTGCAGATTAAATTTAATTTAATCTAATTTAATTTATGTGATGTAGATCTAAGCATTGAAGTCATAAAATTATTTTTATTTCATTAATTTAAACTGCAGTTTTAAAAATATTTAGTGATTTTCTTCACTTGTCTTCTCTTTAACATCTCTGGCAAATTACTGGCAAACATATTAGGTGATGATGTAATCTAGTGACTTGAGTTTGATTTTCCTAGAAAATAACGAGTTGGTTAAAGCAGATGTTTATTCTCTTTATGTTTTGCACTTTATTTTTTCATGATATTATTAGCTGGAAAGCACTAAGCTTTATTTTTTATATTTATATTTTTTTCCTATTTATTTATAGGCTGTTTTGTGAAGTTCAGACAGTGTTTAGGAAGTTCACTTAACATGTTTAATATGTTATGAAAAACTAAAGCCACAGATTTGTTTGCTTTATTGTAATCTGTGCTTTAAATAAATCTTACTTTGTTTATTGCTTTTGTTTCTTGAACAATGCTTGAGAAGATGTTAAAAAAATAATTGCATATTAAATCGCAATTTATAGTTAAAAAAATCACAATTAGCTTATTTTCCAAAATTGTTCAGCCCTAGTTTATGTCAGGTCCTGAGCTCTGGAGCAGGTTGTCATCAGAGAGTAAAGGTTTTCTGTAAGTCTCTGTCTGTAGTTCTGAAGAACTCTCTTTTTATTTTCAGGTCTCCAGAGTTTAAGGACTTCCTGAAGAGGAGTCTGGACAAGAACGTGGACAGCAGATGGGGAGCAGCTCAGCTCCTTCAGGTACCTTCACCCTCCAGCACCTCACATGACCCCTCCCATACCCACACACCACCTGCCTCCAGCCCGAGGCGACACCTGCTCACCTTCTKTCAGGCAGAGAACCGTCTGTCCCGACTGGCCCGACCCGACCCGACCCGGTCCTGTTCCCTCAGTGACGTCAGCAGAGCTGCTGCTGCTTTTTCCGTTCAGATTAAGAAGCTCAGTYGGGTCAGAGCCGCCTACTTACTGCTCAGAGAGGCAGCGGGCACCCAGTCTTAGTCTAACGCTGTGCAGATCTGCCCAGACCCAGACCCAGACCTGATGGGTTTAAAAATACAGAACAGTGGTCTGCCTCCACTGAAGCTTTTATTATCCAAGAAGCTGCACATCATCAGACCTGCCATCCAGTACCTGCAGATCTCTAAACACAAGAAGGTGAGTTAGTTRAACCTGGTCTTTGTTAGTTGTTACTGTAGTTCAATGTTCTGACTGGATCAGTTCCACCCAGGGACCGCATGCTCTTTGTAATTACAGCAGGTTGTCCCGTGTGAATCGACCATGTCAGTAATTTGTAAAGTAAAAATTCTYCCATAAATTACCTGCTACATTTCACTGAACTGTGAGGTCCTTTGATGCTAATCCAGTGTGAGGAGGAGGCAGCTCTGTGATCTGGACAGGAATGGGCTGAATCCCACATGTATTTAGGTGTTTTTGTTTCCTGGACACATTTTTRTTTGCTGGACTGGCGTGCACTGAAAACCTTTTGGGTCCGGGGCCGGCAAAACCCTACTGACCCCGTAACCTGCAGCATCAAAAAGGTAAGGGCTGAAGAGAAGGAGCAACATCAAGTGCAGATGTTGGCTCACATCATCATCATGTGGTAATATTACATATTTTGTGTGTGTGTGTAGTCCTCTGACACTGGCAGTAACACTGTGGTCGCAGCGCAACGTGTTGTGGCTCAGTTATAGTCACACTTTGGGTTCTCACACAGGAAGAGCACCCTCACCAGCACTGGACYTGTTTATATTTGGCACTTATGTTGTTGCGGTTTTCTCCAACAGAACACTTTATAACTTATGAAATGTTATAAGTAGGGGTGTAAAACGATACATCGATCTATATTGATATATCTGTTTGAATGGTTCATGATTCAGTTGTCTCGAGGCAAAATGAAAATATCRATCTATATCGTCATCATATGCTTGATGGGAATTGATATCATCTGCCTATCTAATACAATGACYGTGTTAGATGGGCAGATGATACCGCATTATATCAATCGCARACATGTGTATTAAACTGAATTGAAATTATATCGTGACAGACTTTGTGATATTGAGAAATATTGAATCRTCACCCAAACATATCGATGTAATATCGTATCGTGATGAAGCTGGTKATTTACACCCCTAGTTATTAGTAGGAGAGCAGAAGCTTTGTTTGGTGGCTCATGTCGCCCCTTAAAAGAAAGGAGATAATAAGAGAAAATGAACACAGGAGACCATTAAGGGGACACCATGTCCCCCTAGTGGATCCTTTTGGTAATGTCACTGAACTAACCCCTATTCCAAATAAAGAAAACTTTTAAATACGTTGTCTCTTGCATGTCTTAAATCAAATTAAGAAAACATACAATTACAAATAATCATGACAAATGAATCTGATATTAATAAAGTTAAATTACTCAGGATTATACCCAGCAACACTCGTAGCCTGAGTGGAGTTATCATATCCAGGAGATGTTTGTAAATCTCAGGCTTCATTTATCCCGTGTGAATCCACCACATAAAAAACACACCAGGGAGTAATTTATTTATTACATGGGGTCCCCAGATAATGCTTATCTGCTCGAATGCGGCTTTAATTAGTTACTGTTTGATAAACAGRATGAAGCAGAAAATATTCATCGTTTTTAAAAATGCGTTTAAAACAGTTCTTRTCTCTGAGTCGAACCTTCAGCTCTAATGATGGTCTTACTGTCACTCCCTGACGTGGTCTGTTAGCAAAATATCTCATGATCCACTGAAACTTGTAAAAAGTAATGATTGGCTCTTCAGCTACAACTGATTATATTTTGGAATCTGCTGCCAAGTGATCTTAAAAAAGTCTGTAACGGTTGATTTTGCAAATACTGAGCTACTAAAGTTTTATAAAGTACAAGTATATAGTGTAGGAAGTTTGCTGTGGTAGTAGCTGAGAGTGATCCCCAACATCTACTCTGAGCGGTGCCCTCCCTCACCTGTCCAGCTTGCATAGACCCAGTGGTCCTCCTCGCAGGTGGTGGGCCCACCTGGAGGTAGCCTCTTCAGGTTGGACCTCAGCTGACCCAGGACYCGAGGCTGGACCACGAGGTGCTCATTGAAGAGTTCCTCCCTCCAGACCTGAATCCACGAGAGAGACCTGTTTCCTGATGTGATGTTTATCCAGCCAGGTTTCAAATCCCTCCTGGTCTGACCCCTCACCTGGACTCTGTCTGCCATGGGAGACCYACACCAAATAGTCCCCAGGGGACCCCTAAATCTTAAAGAGCCTGTGACATGCCTGTCCTTCAAATAGAAAAAGTCAAAGAAATCATCTTTATACTTAAGGAAATTGGTATAAAACACATGATTTTACCCATTTTGTCACATAACTGGCATATTTTCTTTTGTATTTGGTTCAGCCAAAGTGAAACARGAAGTGACATCAAAGGGGAACTCTTATAAAATAAACTATGGTCTCCGTTTATTAAAATTTTTTTTTAAACTTTAATTCTTCTTCGTCACTCTTTGATAGCAGCTAAAAATAATCTAAAGAAACATCAGATTCTTCTCTACAGTCTGTTGTTAGCTGTTGTAATGACGCTCTGTTTATATGCTGACATTCCCCTGTGACATCACTTCCTGTTTCTTCACATGWAAATATCTCAACAACCGTTCATCCCAGCAGTGTGAAATTTGTTTTGCAACATGTTATCAATGTTATCTTTCCAAAAAAGCTTTCATATTTATTACAAAAATTTGACGTCACAACCACGACATAGTTCTGGTTATCATTTAGGACATGATGATTTGATTGATTTTTGATACACTGCAGCTCCATGTCTTTTGATGATGATGATGATGTTCTCTGAAAGGCGTCGGGTGGTATTCTTTCCCTCAAGTCTTTACTGAACCGTGTCTCTTGTCTCCCTGTAGCATTCGTTTGTAAYGACGGTGACTGACAGCCGGCCGCTGAGAGAGCTGATCGCCGAGGCCAAGGCCGAGGTCACCGAGGAGATCGAAGAGCACAAAGAGGAGGAGGAGGAGGAAGAGGCAGAGGCACACCTGGTGAGTCCCAAATCACCAAACAAAGAGAAGGTTTTATCAGTTTTAATTAAAACTGACGGTCCTAACTCTTCCTCCTGTCCCTCTGTGCTGCAGGGACACAAACGAGCCCTGTCAGATGTCAGCRTCGTCAGCTCAGAGGATGAGAAGATCCCCCTGTCCCCCTCCAGCCTGGAGTCAGTCCCCGAGAAGCTGGAACCCATCCGGTCCACCCCCACCGAGCTTCCTGTGGCCAACCATGTGATGGAGTCCAGTTCTGAGGAGGAGCCCTCTGCTCCTGCTGCTCCTGGCACTCCAGTTAACCAAGAAGAGACTGAAACCAAACCACCGGAGGCTCGGGTCTCCTCGCCGGAGTTGGAGAAAGAACCGGGGGCTCCGTCCAAAGAAATGCAGCAGCTGCAGCTAAACGTGGAGGACGAGAAGGAGGTGGACACGGCTGAGACCCCTCAGGAGGAGAACACACCTGTCGAGGAGGAGCCAAACACTCCAGCTGAGGACAGAGAACCGTTCAAACACCTGAAGGTGACTCTGACTCTTCCGGAGGAAGACAAGCCTGTCCTGAAGCAGGACACCGAGGACAAACGTGCAGCTGAGGAGGACAAGAAGGAGACGGAGAAAATGAAGAAGGAAAAGGACAGAGACTCTGATTCAGGAAGTTGTTCCACCTCTGATTACAGCAGCGTGGACCTGAACCTGTCCATCTCCAGCTTCCTGTCCAAGACTAAAGAGCCTGGATCCATTTCTGTTCAGGTGAGTCAGGACGTCCTGCCAGAACCAAACCCYTGACCCTGAATACTTCTGTAACGGTTCTCGTCTCCTCAGGACACTAAACGCCAGAAGAAAACATTGAAAAAGACCCGTAAGTTCATGGTGGACGGCGTGGAGGTCAGCGTCACCACGTCCAAGATCATCACCGACAACGACGCCAAGAACGAGGAGATGAGGTTCCTCAGGTGAGCCGCTTTTAACGTGTTTTTATTTTTAT